AATGGCGGAGATTTCTTTCCGCGTTTTATGAAATACTTACATCTTTTATGATTTAAAAATTTAAAAGAATTTTCTCCAGAGGCATTCCCTTTTACCTCTGCACAGAGAGCTTAACAAAAATTCTTCATCACAGCGGCCGTGGGTCTCATTTGCATTGAACCCGTTTCATTTAACATTCTTTTGCCAATTAGTTATTCCTATTCAACTACAAATAAACAAGTTAAATGAAAGAGAGCTTGCTAATCAAGCCTGCAGTTAAATATCGTTCTGGAGAGAGAAAAACGTATTTTTCTCTATTTTTCCCTCAGTAATTTCTTCAAAAGTTTATAATGTTCAATTATTTTTTGTTCAATATTTTAAAAGTAACCCGCCGAGGCTAATAATATATCTCCATATTCCTGGAGAAAGAAAAGAAATTCTTTCAGATCAATAGCCTTAAATTCAAACACTTGCGGGTAAAGCCCCGATGATAAAGTTATTAATGATGCAAATGAATTTTTAATTTGACACCAAAGTAATTAATTCGAGAAATTCTTCATTGTAAAAAGGATAAAAACTAACGACACTCTTATTTTTCTTCCTAGGATAGGAATCTCAAAAGAAAGTTATGGATATACCCGTGCCGTTTTTCACTCGACGAGCGAAAAATGCATTAAAGGGGGATTAAAAAGCATCATTGGGAGGAAAGAAATTGTTTTTTAAAAACCAAGGAATTAAAAAAAATAATAGGGAAAAGATTGAAAAACAGAAAATACAAAATAATCTCCCTAAAAAGAAAGGAAAAATATCACTTTCAAACAAAGAATGTCAGAAAGTAAAAAGCGAGACTATATATATATATATATATATATATATATATATATATTTAGAACTCAGTAAATTTTTAAATAAGTTATTCCAAAATTCGCTTGAAGATGAAAGAGAAATAATGCTTTTAATTTAATTGTATAATTAAATTTGAAGATTTTAGCTTCGGTTTTGAAACATGGTAATTCCTGTATAGCGAAGAAAATATATTTTAAGTCAGTTAATTTATAATATTTATGCTTTGTAAATTTACAATGAGCATTGTTTTGCAAAAATGAAAAAAAAATCAATAAGAACACCGGATTATATATCTTACTGTTCTTTCTTTTTATCATATATATATATATATATATATATATATATATATATGTGTGTGTGTGTGTGTGTGTATGTATATATATATATATATATATATATATATATATATATATATATATATATATATATATATATATATATATGAACGTAAAAACAACCAGAGTAATATCTGCAACTTTGTTAACAAGAAAATTTAGTCATAATAACATTTCCAGATCAAATAAAGATTTTGATTGGGAGATCGGAAACTATGAACCGTTGCATACACATTAAAATGTTGCTTTTGACTTCATATGCACCGGGATGAAATGAAGGTAAGTACATTTGCTTTAACCGCAACCGATACATTTTCAATACCCTTACTTTTCTCCTTCTTCATCATGCTCCCCTTCTATCACATGTTGTGCACTTATTTATTTATTTTTAAATGTTTATTATAGCGTTCATTAAGTTTTTTTTTAAAAAAAATAAAGCGTTAGGAAATAAAGTTACCGAAAGTTTGAAACCAAAGTAGCGCAATCGGCTGCCTATGTCATATATATATATATATATATATATATATATGTGTGTGTGTGTGTGTGTGTGTGTGTGTGTGTGTGTGTGTGTGTGTGTGTGTGTGTGTGTGTGTGTATGTATATATATATATATATATATATATATATATATATATATATATATATATATATATATATATATATATATATATATATATATATATATATATATATAGGCATAGGTAAAATCACCGACTGACACCAAATCACTCGGTTTTCAATCCCGGCTTGAGGAAATCGGATGTCTAACCACACTGATGAGCTATGAAACAGCGAATCAGTCTGTCTGTGGATGACAATATATATATATATATATATATATATATATATATATATATATATTCGTGGAGGAAAGGAAATTTGTAAGCAGTGACTATTAATGCAGCTGATGCAAGACTCTACGTTTTGACAAATCGAGTTCTCCGTAATTGGCCTGTTTGTCAAAAAAATAAATACGTCTAATTTCACCTTCACCCCTTCCGTGCACCATCGGCTTAGGGATAAATTCTCCGATTGATACCATTATGGTCCGGTTGTGGCAATCGGATATCAAGCCACACTCTGTTTGTGGATGACTATACATATATGATAATATTTTAATTTCCATTAGCATCTAACCTCAACATGACTCACTCATTGCACCTTCCTGGACTAACGTTTCCGCTGACATGTGATTTTCCAAGCGTAGCTAAGATGTGGCACAAGGCCGAAAGTGTGGGGCACCCAGTGGGGATAGAACTCACTACTCAGTCGTAAATTTTCTCGTGAGACAAACTTGCTCAACATTATATCACTTTGAGGTGCCCTGTTTTCAACTGACATGAAGTGGAAAGATTATATTGAAACAATTGCTAGGTTTGCTGCTAGGAGAGTTAGTTCACTGTGTCGTACTAGGCAATTTCGCCGGAATCTCCTTCTCACATATTTATAAGTCTACCATTCATCCTTGCTCTGAATATTGCAGCCACATATGGTTTGGTGTTCCTGCTATATATTTAGAGCTACTTGATAAAATCCAAAGAAGAATCTGCAAGGTTATTTGTCCTGACCTGCCATCTTGGCTTCACTCACTTTCCCACTAACGTAAAGTTGCTTCCTTGTGCCTTTTCTATAGATACATTCATTGTTCTGATGAACTTTCTCTTTGGTGCCGAGAACTTATCAATTTACGCGCAGTACTAGATTGGCGGTCAGGTCTCATCATTTTACTGTTGAAATGCCTAGTTGTAACGGTAAGTTCTATGTTAACAGTTTCTTTTCTCGCACTTATCGCTTGTGGAATTCTCTTCCGGTTTATTGCTTCCCATTTGATCGGCAAAAATATGGATGTAATACCAATCGTTATATTCTATCTTCTTAATTCTTGAACATTTATTGTTTCCTCTTCGTAATAATGTTTTCTTTTTTCTTATATTCTTTTACACTAAGCGACTCCTTGAGTCTTAGTAACTTTATTGCCTTGTTTTGGCTGAAATGATTAAAACAATACAACATGATATGCATTATATCTATTTGCCTGTTTCACAAAGCCATTATATAAAGATATAGGTATATAACTTGTATATACATGTACATGATATATATATATATATATATATATATATATATATATATATATATATATATATAATGTTTTGAGAGAGTGAAAAATGTATTAACGACGCGTTTAACCGGAGAGCTTATACTCACTTTGGCTTCTCAGGTTAGGATGAAATAAAGAAAAACTCTGTGTGAGGAAATGCCTTGACATCTCTGAGGATAAGTGGAATTATTCTCTAACACTCAATAATCCCTTACACATTAGCGGCTTTATTGCCTTGCTTGGGTTGAAAAAATTAAAAGAATAGATATGAACAGAATGACACACACACACACACACACACACACACATATATATATATATATATATATATATATATATATATATATATATATATACATATATATATAGAGAGAGAGAGAGAGAAAAGAGAGAAAGATAGTAGTGATTTGTATAATAATGAAAGAAACAGATATGGAATAAAATATAGATTTCACTATTGTTTGGAAATATTTCGGTTAGGGGAGGCGAATTATTTTGACGAAAATAATAATATAAAGATTGAATAATTAATAATGTGAATTTAATTCATACATTTGCGAAAATTAGGTCACCACATTGAATGTGACAGTAAACATTTAAAATGAGGTTGTTTCGATTTCACGAGAGTTTTTTTTAATGTCATCAAAAGAACAAAGGAAATGTATAACAGGAGGTGTAGGAAAGTTTCAAAGTTATCTATTTAATTCAACACAGGAATAATTGTGTTCAGAGCGTTGACTATGTAAATGAAGAGACAAAAAGATAAAGAGGAAATGATTGTGAAATAGTTATTTCATTTAGTTTAATAAGATACAGACGAACTGAGTTAAAGGCATAGAAACAGGTAGATTTATTATGTAAGTGATATCAGGAAGTGAACCTGGAAAATATATCAAAGACGTGTTCCTGAGGTGTTCAGTATTCCGTCAACCCTGCCGCGAATAGAGTAGATGCTGTAATTCGAAAGCTCCAAGCAAAGATAGTCTGTCGAGGACTTCAGTATAATGTAAACCATGCTACAAACAAGGGAGATAATGATCTTCGAAAGGGCATGATAATAGACGAATTGTTATAAGAGATACTACTTTTATAAAGACGTGTGGATATTGGTTAATTACGTGTAAAAGTCCATAAACGTTAAAGCGTGAGTAGAACATTTCTTGCTCTATTATTTAACCAATATTTGGAGGAAAATGGATTTATGCCTTTTGCAAAGGAATTAGAGAGATGTGAACAAAACAATAAAAATGAGGACAACAGATGGAACAATTTAAATAAACTTACATTATGTCAGGTCTTAGGTAATGACTTGGTTAAGGATTGCCCCCCCCCAGTAGTCTGGGTCACTTTTCCATTATTCAAACTGATCGGCATACATTTCAAGTCGTTTATGTGTCAATTAAATCCTCAATTCTTCCTACGGGTTTTTGGTATTAATCCTTCTCATATCAATATCTCTCAGCACATAACACTTTCTTATGTTTAACAAAACTTTCTTCCGTTTGACCGCGGCAACGACAAATAGTATCACAACTGTATAAATAACTCGTATTTTAAATCTTATTTACTTAAATTATTTTTTAAATCAGATTAACTTAAATAAATAATTTTTCAATATGCCAAAAATATTTTTTTAAATCGTGTTCACTTGGAAATACTTTTAAATATGGCAAAAATATTTTTTAAATATTTAAAATTTTTATGGTTTAGAGAAAGCTGAAATATGAATAAGCACGCACGCAATCACAGAGAGGTAGAAAGAGAGAGAGAGAGAGAGAGAGGTGGGAAAAGAAAGGTAGAAAGAGAGAGAGGTGGAAAGAGAGAGAGTGTTGGAAAGAGAGAGGTGAAAAGAGAGAGAGGTGGAACGAGACAGAGGTGAAAAGAAAGAAGTTGAAAGAGAGAGAAGTGGAAAGAGAGAGAGGTGGAAAGGGAGAGGTGGAAAGAGAGAGAGGTGGAAAGAGAGAGGTGGAACGAGGGAGAGGTTGAACGAGAGAGAAGTGGAAAGAGAGAGATTGAAAGAGAGAGAGAGAGAAGTGGAAAGAGGGCGAGGTGGAAAGGGAGTGGTTGAAAGAGAGCGAGTGGTGAAGAGAGAGAGAGAGAGAGAGAGCGGTGTAAAGAAACTTAAATCATTATGCGCCCGATGGCGAATTATTAGCGGTCGTGAAGAAGACAGTTGTTCCCCATATCTTATAGACTGTCGCTACATAATCACAAAGAGTTTTACCAAATGACAAAACCGACATTACTTGAAGACTTCTCAAAATGACAAAAAATGGATAGCATTTGTAACTAGAAAAGCAATGATTGATATTATCAAAATCCCGATTTCCACATTAACTTAATTAAAAATTTAGAAAGGAAACTCCTATCAGTGCGAGAAAGAGTAGTAACCGTTAGTGGACATAAAAAATCGATTTTCCTGTGTCGTAACCTAGGGAAGGTTACTCAATAGAGTAATTAAACGAAGGTTGGTAATGAACGATAATACTCTCCACAAGAACAACACATATAAGATTCGTCAGCGTAGAAGGAGTAACTTGCTAGAAGTGAGTCAAGTGAATTCTACAATGAATCTCCAACTGTAGGATAACTACTAACCGCTCAATGCGGTCATATGTGGCACAAGGCCGAATTCAATGTGGGGTATCTGAGCCCGTAAGCTCGACCAAAAATTCCCCATAGACCCCGTCTAAAACGGAGTCCGGTAGTTGTCTCCCAAGACGAGACTCTGCCCTTCGACATAGCCTCGTCTGGGATCCTCTCTGCACGGAGGCAGAGTGTATGACCAGCACAGTTGGAGACGAATCTCCCACTGCATGATATTTACCAACCACCCCACGCGGTCAAATGTAGCACAAGGCCGAATTTAATGATGGGGGTGGGTATCCGAGCCCGTAGGCTCGGCCAAAATTTCCCGCTTGACACCGTATAAAACGGGGTCGGGTAGCTGTTTCCCGACATGGAACTCTGGCCTTTGACATAGCCTTGTCTGGGGATCCTCTCTACACAGAGGCAGAGATTTTAACCAGCACAGCTGGAAACTAATCTCCAACTGCAGACCAACATACAGTATTTACTACTGTATTTATGTGAGTGGGGATATACCTATTATCGTCCGTAGGTATGATACAAAATCCTGGAAAAAACACTTTTAAGACAGTTATTTTATAAATTTTAACCGAGAGAAACGCTAAAATTTTGGTCAACGAATGCCGAATATTTGCTAAATAGAAAAGAGTAACATCTACATTGCCCTTTTTTCTTTCTTTTTTTTACAGCAAGGAAAGGGCCAGACCAAACCAATGCTTTCAAAATCTGTCGCATGTCTTTTTACCCCCAATTTTCACTCAATACGAGACATAAGAGTCAATCAATGTAGCGTGTTACTGAATGAGTTCTCTGATTTGAAACATAAGAGGATGAAGCAGGGAATAATAGATTATAAAGAGATGGAGGACAGATAAACGATTGAACCGAGAATTGAAAACGGTATGATTCTAGTGTTCGAAGAAGCAGCCAGGCGGGTGTCTATATAAAAAAAATTAGCAGTTCTCCGGAAGAAACTCATGTCTGTGTAGAACTTCCTCTTGTAAGTGAAATACAGAGGTTATGAGTGTGAATCCCCCTGTGGACGTAACAAACTGGCGGAACTAAAGAATAGAAAAAAAATATAGCTTGCAACTTTGCGTTTGTACGAAAGTGGTCGTAGATCTACAAGGCCACATAGACGATTTTGAACCGACTTTACTCGTAGCAGAACTAACAATTGGTTCGATATAATCATTTCAATGTGAGAATTCTGCAGTTTCAGCACAGGTATGGCGGCAGTAAATATGGAGTATGGCAGAATAAGTTAGGTACTCGTGGAGCGGTTCAAGGAGATGACCATTCTCCCGGGATCTTTAGCGATGGAGCGAAAAAATTGTCAAATACGTGTGACCATCCTAGGGAATGTTTTTGTCTTTCTCAACGCGTACACGTTTTGACATTATACCAAATACGATCCTGTGGACATATCTACACCCTTGTGCTAATTAATTGAAACTAAACAAATAATTCCGTTATTGTTTACTTCTTTTTTCGTATTTTTCCGATGAAACATGCCCCAGTACACATGTTCGTACTTCGTATGTCTATTCCACGAAATTGTTCCTTGCAGATTGGCCAATGATTCTCGATTGGATTTAAATCGGGAGAGTTTCCAGGACAATCTATAGTACTTTGATTTGCTCACAGATTAGGCTTATCAGTGTTTTTGTGCAGCGTTACAATATTCGTACGCTTCCTTGGAGTAACGTCCATCGCAGACAATGGCCGTAGGGACAACTAATTGACAGTCGAGACAATATTATCTGAGTGTGATAAAAATCTGATGCATTCACGGATGACGCAATATTTTTCAAGGTCAAACAAATTTCATCATAGACGCTGAAAATAGATGCATATTACTGCAGAAAGAAAGAAAATAAAGCGGTTGTTTCAGTTAACTTGCGCCAGGGTGCAAGCGGGTTTTAGATGTAAAGCCACTGAGAACATTTGCTATGGAAATAGCTACAGAATAGCAATAGGTTTGTGACGTTACGTTCGTGGGAAAAGTTATGTAGGGTGGAAGTATCTCACGACCTACAACGATTTTGAACTCTGTCAATGCAGTGAAGTGAGGATTGTACAGCTCCAGAACAGATATGGCAACAGTAACTATTGAGCGCGCAGAAGGATTTACATACTTTCTGGAACAGTTCAAGGAAACGGGTCTTTTTTCGTCGGCATCTTAACGATGGATCGTAAAAATTCTCGGAGCCTTGTACCCCTCTAGAAATGGGCATTTTTTTTTTTAACTTCTCAACATACGTGTATTGCCCATGAACTTAAACTGACCATATACCGGGTGCTTTAATATTGGTTTAATCACAACAGTCTTTTAACAATGATTAAGAAATATCCTAACCTTTATCTTTTGCTTTGACTCTGCGAAAAAAAAAATACATATTCTGCGGATGGGCTGTTTCCTTCGTACAAGAGAGACTTGCGGTCAACTGAACTTCAGATATGGGATAGAAATGAAGGGAAACGAAATGATGCAAGTGGAAATAACAGAAAAATAATAAAACGGAAAAGCGACAAACATAGACATTATATATATATATATATATATATAAAAAAAAACTAACAAAGTACCGGGTCAGTGAGAGTGATAATGACACCGTTAAGAATAAATGATCTTTGCCTCGTGTAATGTAATTCTCTTTCTGGCATCAATGTAGATATTTTTACGCGTATGTTCCTATTTAACCCCGCACCACCCATTCCACGTTTCTCCAAATCGATGGATATGTTTTTTTGTCTTCTTTAATTTTATATTTGGTCTTTTTTCTTCTACTTTTCCTTTCTTATCTTTTCATTCTTTCATTTCTTTAATTCACGATACATTTTCTCTTTACAAAGGTTGTATCATTCACTTTGTTCTCGGCTGACATTTTTTCATTAAATTCTACCTTTGTTATAAACACTATTTGGGAATTCTTCTTCTTCTTCTTCTTCTTCTTCTTCTTCTTCTTCTTCTTCTTCTTCTTCTTCTTCTTCTTCTTCTTCTTCTTCTTCTTATTATTATTATTATTATTGCGAAAAGAATCGACGATAGGGTTGGTTCGGAGATTGGAAGACGTTTTTGGTAGAGATGGAAAGAAATTGTCGTTGCTGTTAATTTTTGGAAGCCCCATCGATACAATTTAGATAAAATTGAATAAAATACATGGACAGAATTGACTCGGATTCATTCGTATGCCTCCCAAGAGAGAGCCAACAGGACATGTCAATTTGGAGAAATAGAAAGAATTACTTTGCATAGTCACATAAAAGAGATACATAAATAGAAGAGTTGATAGGAAGAAACAGCGAAGACAAATAGGGTGGATCGATATATAGATTTGAATGAAGTCGAGATAGATAGATAGATAGATAGATAGATAGATAGATAGATAGATAGATAATGAAGAATTTGAATGTAAAGAAGTGATTGGGATAGATAGATAGATAGATAGATAGATAGATAGATAGATAGATAGATAGATAGATAGATAGATAGATAGATAGATATTCTGAGAGTAGAATAGGTATGAACGTCATAGATAGATGCTCTATGAGTAACATCATAGATAGATAGATAGATAGATAGATAATGAAGAAATTGAATTTAAAGAAGTGATTGGGATGGATAGATAGATAGATAGATAGATAGATAGATAGATAGATAGATAGATATTCTTAGAGTAGCATAGGTATGAACGTGATAGATAGATGCTCTGTGAGTAACATCATAAATAGATAGATAGATAGATAATGGTCTGCTGAAATTAATTTGGTCTATGTTTCTGGCTTAGTTTTCATTGAATAATTACGCTGCGAGCAGACATATTTACAGGTGCGACGAAGAGATACATAAACAAATGAGTTGATAGCAAGTGACACTAAAGACTAGAGATTTGAATGAAGACGAGATAGATAGATAGATAGATAGATAGATAGATAAATAGATAGATAGATAGATAGATAGATAGATAATGAAGAATTTGAATTTGAAGAAGTGACTGAGAAAGAAAGAAAGAAAGAAAGAAAGAAAGAAAGAAAGAAAGAAAGTAGAAAAATAGAAACAAATAAAGTAAGATAGAAAGAAAAAAGAGTACGAATCAAGAGAAGAAAGTTTGCAATAAGAAAAGAAAGAGGAAAATTAAAGAGAAAGAAAGAAAGAAAGAAAATGCTTTGCTGAAATTAATTTGGCCCATGTTCCGGACTTAGTTTTCATTGAATCATTACGCTGCCAGCAGACATATTTGCAGGTGCGGCTTAAAACCACATTACAACTAACTTTGACCTATTTTCGTGTGTATGGTTATCTTAATATGATATAATGCGGAGAGTGTAACTTTGGACGGCTCGGAAAGTGGAATCAGAGAGCCCACTATAAATTCCGGACTAGGGTGAGACCTTCGTTTGTGAGATGGGCATGAATCCCCAAGCTCACAAACCCCAGATATTTTTAAGCTAGTTAAATAGCAAATTAGACTTGGATCTCTAGCCTAGGCTTATAACCAATCATACAAATGGGAACTTCGAACTTAAAACCGTAAAGAAGACAACGGAAAACAACCTTACTTTTTTTCCAATGATGCAGGACAATAGATAGTCGCTAAAAAGTAATCTTTGTAGAGTCCCGACCTTCTAAGACAAGACATTAAAATAAAGATAATGTTAATATCTTATAATATTTGTATGGTAGATAATTATCAAGTCATCCCATAAGTTCTGCCCGAATTTTGAATAAAGAAAACAAGTGACCAAATGTTACATTTAATTACAGATTCAATCAACAAGGTATTTTCCTTGATTAACTATGACTTCCTTCCATCTATTAACAAGCTTTTTAATTCCATTACTGTAAAATTCTTTTGGCTTTGATTCGAAGAACTCACAAATGTCAATTTTAACCTCTTCCTGTGTTACAAAAGCTGTTTCTTCCAAATTATTCTGTAAGCTACGAAACAAATGGTAGTCTGAAGAAGCAAGATCGGGAGAATAAGGTGGATGAGGAATTTTCTCCCAACCAAGTTCTTTGATCTTTTGCGACGTGATTCTTGCTGTGTGGTGTCGCGCATTATCCTGATGAAACATCACCTCTTTTTGATTCACTAGAGCAGTTTTTTTTTCTCAAAGTTTGGTTCAAATACTCTAATTGCTGACAGTATATTTGAGCATTAATTGTTGCATTAAGTGGTACGAATTCAAAGTGGATTATTCCTCGGCGATCCCACCAGATTGAAAGAAGAACCTTTTGCCCATGAAGATCTCTTCTCGGCTGTGGCTGGGGTCCTTCCCCTTTACGAAGCCACTGTCCACGACGCTTAACATTTCGATAAAAGATCCACTTTTCGTCGTCAGTCACAAGTCTATCCAAAAAAGGTGAAACAAGTTGGCGAGAATGGAGAAAAGAGCAGATGTCAACTCGGGATTTGAGGTTGTTTTCAGACAATTCATGAGGCACCCATTTTCCAAGTTTAGGAACTTTTCCAAGTTGTTGAAGATGACGATGAACAGTTGTATGGTTTGAACTGAGAACCACTGCCAATTCCTCAACTGATAAAGCAGGATTTTCTACAAGGGCTGCTTCAAGAAGCTTTTCATCAAACTCAACTGGACGTCTGGTTCGATCTTCATCTTCAAGGGTGAAATCTCCACCTCTAAATTTTGCAAACCATCTTCTGCTAATTCTTTCATTTACACATTCCTTTCCATAAACTGAGTGAATATTTCTAACCGCTTCGGCTGCTGAGTTTCCTTTCTTGAACTCATAAAGCATTATGTGCCTCAAATGATTCTTGGGTACTTCCATGTTAGTAGGGTTTTAATCAAACAAAATTTAATTTTATTGTTCTCTGAAATAAAGTTTTATCAGTTTAAATGCATTTAAACATAAAAATAATGTTCAGCTCCATTAGACATTATAAAATACTCTTTAAATTTCGTTCATTTTAACAAAAAGTAAAAATTTGGACTCACACTCTAATAAAATTAGAGACCACTGCTGTATAGAGTCCTCAGCAAAATGAAATGTAAATAGATTATGGAGCTTTAAGGCAGAATAAGGTATATTCGTAATTTCACTTCGGTTAATTTTAACACACATATACAGACGATACATTCTTCGTTCTTCGTCAAGTGTATTGTCTATTTGATGTTTAGAATTCTTGCAATATTTAGAAAAATAATAGCCAGTTGTTATATGGATACTTCGACAGGATCAGTAACTTATTTCCAGAAAAATGCTAACATTTACCTTACACAGTTGACTGACTTCAGAAACTTAAAAGAGAGAAAAAAAGATTTCAAAAGAATGCACTGTTAATTATTCTATCAATCTAATAGATTTCGGTGCAAAAATATTCTAAGGGTGAAATTTGGATACGAAAATAAGTTTGCTTTTTGTTGACGAATGGCGATGAACAGAAATATAATAATAAATGCTATGGTATGAATGGCTGACGATAAAAGCCTGCTTGTCATCTCTCTAAAGGCGTTTACCTTAGACTGCCTCAGAGACATAAAACTGGAAACCACTTCTCTAGAGAGTACTCAGCAAGATGAGAGTACAGTAAATAAAGATGGAGCGTTAGAAAAGCATGATAGGATACACAAAATATGAAACCAAAGCCACATTAACAAAAATAGACACAGTTAATAACAGTGATTAAGTAACAATATATTGGAATCCAGAACACTGGAGTGTAACCGCTTTTATCAAGACAAGCGACATTTTCACAAAGGCTTGTATTTTCTTATCTTTATATTTGTGTAGAATTTTAAGTAGGTATCTCCAATCATTCGTTGAAAATGAACATGCCGTAATGAAAAAAAGGCCCTAAACTTGATAAAAACAATTTTCCTCCTTTAAATGTTCATGTTATTTTTAAAAGCAAAGACCAAAGTAATTTTTATTATTTTTTTCATTTTTTTTAATCCTTCCTAGAACATCTGAAATTTTAGTTAAAAATCTTATTTTTTTCAGTCAGCTAAAATGCATTGAAATCGATGATGTCTGCCATTTTTGAAACGTTTGTAAACAAAAGTAAATTCTCCGTTTAAAAATCTTGTAAAAATCTTTTGAAAATTATTTGAGTAAAATTAGAACATTTAAAGTATACTTAATGTAACTGGAAACAAACATTACTCAGATTGCTTGAAAATTATGGAAGTATAGAATACTCAGAAAGATGAGACTAAAGTAAAATAGAATATGGAACGTTAGCAAAGCAGGATACAATACACAAAATATGAAACCCAGGCTACATTAATAAAAATACACATAGTTAATAACAGACATTAGGTAACAATGTATAAGAATCCAGTAAAAAAAAATGATGAATGTGGTAACAAGCATAGAGAGTGTTAAGAAAAAAATAGAGTAACAGAGAATATATAACGATGATAACGAAGATTATAGTAACGAATTATGAATGTTTGATAGATATTTTAGAAAACTCTTCTCCCGTGTACCGTGTTCTTTCCGGTCGTAGGCGATCATAGCTCTCCACAATTTCCTGTCTTTTGCAGGTCTCAGTAAATTTTGTCTTTTAGTTATCATTCTTAAACCTTGCCCAGCCATCCAGACATTGCTAGGTAGGTTTGGCGTTCTTTTACACTATCCGCCTTACTGTCAATCTGTCCTGTGGATATCGAATTTTCCAAGCACCATTTCCTTATTATGTACCTTAGAATAGATGAGTTGCGTTCAAATTTCAGCTGAGTTTGTAGATTTTAATTTCGCATAAAAGGAAATGGAGAAATCTGTTTATTCGCCACTCAGCAATTTCTGGGTTAAATATCAGAATAGAATGGGCCCTCTAGTCTTGGATTGCAACTGGTCTGTGAATGAAACAATCTTTCCATCAACATGGCTGATGCTAACTTCTATGAGAGCAAAATCATTGCGTCTGCTTGGGCGGATGTTCCCCTGACACGAAATAGAAGGATTATACTGAATAATTTGCTAGATTCGCTGCTCGGAAAGCTGGTCCGTTGTCCCACTCTAGATATCGGTTTTTACCAGGATCTATCTGTAATAAAATATCATAAGTCTACCATTCATCAGTGTATTGTATATTGCTGCCTCTTCCGGCATGGTGCTTTTGAAGTGTACTTGTCAACTATTGGCACAATCAAAAGAAAAATCTCCAAAGTTATCTCCCCTGACCTGGCATCTTGATTTCAGTCACTTAACCACCACATGACTTCCGTTTGACCTTTCTATAAATAAGTTTAAGGTAATTTTTTTAACGGGCTTTTCTCTTTGTTGCATTGAATTCATAAATGTCAGCGCAGTTCATGATTGGAAGATAGGTCTCATTATTATGCTGTTGAAATTGCTACATTGAACCGTACGTTCTTTGCTAACAGGGTTTTTTTTTCTCGCACTTCCCGATTCTGGAAATCTCTTCCAGTCTCTTGATTTTCTGTCAACTAGAATTTTCATTAATTTAAATACAACGTTATTTTGTGTTTTCTTGAATCCTGTTTTGATCTTCCTCGCTTCTCAATAAAGTTTTTCTTAGATAGTTTCACTCTGAAAGTAATTGTGTCTCATTGACATTATTGCCTTGTTAGGGATCAGTGATATTATCGCCTTAATTGGGATCAGTGGCATTATCACTTTACTTGGGATCAATGACATTAGCGCCTTTTCGGGATCAGTAGCACTGTCGTTTGCTTGGGATCAGTGGCATTATCTTCTTGTTTGGAATCAGTGGTATTATCACTTTGCTTGGTATCAATGGCATTATCGCCTTTTTGGGATAAGTGGCACTCTCGCCTTGCTTGGGATCAGTGACATTATCGTTTTGCGTGGGATCAGTGTCATTATCGCCTTCCTTGGGATCAGTGGCATTATTGTCTTCATTGTGATAAGTTACATTATCGCCTTGCTTGGTATTAGTTGCATTATCGTCTTCCTTGGGATCAGTGGCATCATCGATTTGCTTGGTATCAGTGACACTATCGCCTTGCTTTGGATCAGTGGCATTATATCTGGGGTGATGTTCATAAACTCAATTAATGGTAGATTTTAAACGTATACAAATCATATGATCTAAAGGACGGCAGTTAATACGAGAAGACTCTTCTTGAGGGAAGCAATGTTTGGGATGGTATGAAAATACGCAGTGTCTTCTGGTACTTTTATCTGGGCTTTATCAGCTAAAAACAGATCTTAAAATAAATGCCTTAGAATGAAGACAAGAAAAACGTTCTTAAATAAGAAGAAACAAAATCAAATAGAGAGACAGACAGACATATGCGAATAGAACAAGATAGATAGTGTTACAAATAGAATGAGATAGATAGATACATAGATAGATAGATAGATAGATAGATAGAGAGATAGTGTTATGGTTCAGATTAGGACCAAACACGAAGGAAGAACAACACGAACAAAAGGGTAGAAATAACGAAGGTATATTACATGAAATAATAATACAAGATGTGGAAGGTGTTAGTATGACTGTCAGTCTGGTTTGGAGTGATCTACTATCGGCTCGACTCGATTCGTCCCTCTCTCTTGAGAGGCGTAGTATACATAGTGTTAGGAAAAATTCATTCTGTAGTTATAGGTAAGGACCCATGACAGATAGATAGATAGATAGATAGATAGATAGATAGATAGATAGATAGATAGATTCGAACAGATTGAGAGAAATAGACAGTTACGAACGGTATAAGATAGATTGATTGAAAAGTAAATATATAGATATGAACAGAATAAGATAGACAGTTAGATAGTTATGAGCATATATATATATATATATATATATATATATATATATATATATATATATATATATATATATAGAGAGAGAGAGAGAGAGAGAGACAGAGACAGAGACAGAGACAATGAACAGAATAAGGTAATTAGCTAGCGGGATAATGTCAAACAGAATGAGATATACATTTACCAAGAACATAAGAAATATAAACATTTAGGAAGAGAATTAGATAGATAGATAGATAGATAGATAGATAGATAGATAGATACGAACAGACTGCCAGATAGATAGATAGATAGATAGATAGATACAGAGAGAGAGAGAGAGAGAGACAGACAGACAGACAGACAGACAGACAGACAAACAAACAAAGTTAGATAATTCTTTTTATTATGTTGGCTCGCGGGGTCAGCGTATGTTAATGGTACTTCCGTAGAGGACGAATCTTCTTTCCAAGTAATCATAATATTTTTTTTGTTGATTTGATAGAAGCTAAGCAACAATCTGGCAAAATATCCTCTGCTAGGAAAACGCATACAATGCAGTAGTGTGATAATGAATTTATAAATCTGATAATACTTCCCCATTCGTCCTTCGAGGCTGAAAATTTTAGTAATGGCGATAGGCTTTGCACAAATGTCAGCCAGCGAAGAATTATAAAATGGTGACAGTGTTCGTTGAATTTCTTGTTGCTTGCGTGGAAATAAATTAGAGCAAATACTTAGGAGATAGACACCATCAGACCAGAAAATGTGGAGATAAGAACAGAGTCATGTCAAACCCTCGAAGATTAGCATGTAAGACTAAGGTGATAAACTTTGAGCTGCGGAAAAAAAAACTGCCAAATGTTTATCTAGATGATTTGAATTTAATTGAAATAGTATTAGCAATGAGGCAAAAATGCAGATTCCGATTTGAAGGTCACTATGATTTGAAGAAAATTCAATCGAGAGATGAACAAAAATGTGAAGACATAGCAACAAGATCGTCAGTTAGATAGTCTCATATACAGCAGCGCTAAGGAGGAGAATACAATTGATTTGATTGATTTTTCTTTCGGATTATCAATCCATTATAGGCTATTTAAAGCCTTAACATATTTCAGATTTTAGAAGATTGCTTACAGTACAGTAATATTTTCAATGATGTCAAATATGACCATTGCAATATATATATATATATATATATATATATATATATATATATATAGAGAGAGAGAGAGATAGAGAGAGAGAGAAAAGATGAAAATAATGAAAATAAAGAGTAACTTAGAGAAACACAAAACAATGTGTAGGTTGGTAGGTAAGTAGATAGATAGATAGATAGATAGATAGATAAAAAGAAAGTGTCAGAAATATATTAAAGGAATAGACAGATTGACAAATAGTATATAAACATATAGATGCGAAGGTAGATGTATACGAATACATATATATATATATATATATATATATATATAGAGAGAGAGAGAGAGAGATGTATGTGTATATATATATATATATATATATATAGAGAGAGAGAGAGATACATACATACATACATAAATATATAGATGTGAAGAGAGACAGATCGATACTCAGACGGACAGAAAATAAAAGGAAAAAGATAGAGATAAATTAAAGGAAAAGATAGATAGATAGATAGATAGATAGATAGATAGATAGATATTGCAAAATCGAAAATTAAATGCGTAGGTGTCATAAATAGATAAAAGTTAATTTGCTTCCTGTATTTGTTCCTTTTTTTTCTCTTTATACCTCCTTTATTTCACCTTCAACTATCATACACATTTACGAAAGAGAAAGTGTAATTAAAGCCTGATTCAATTATGGATGTCAAAAGGTTTTATATGCACAAAATATCTTTAACAGACAATTGCATTTTCTAAAATAGACGACAGAAATAGATTGAGATTTATAAGAAACGAAATAATAATGAAAATGTCCTAGCATAGAAACCAAACATTGACTAATATATATATATATATATATATATATATATATATATATATACAAAATATATAGACAAAAAAGAAAGGTGGATAAATAGTAAGATTGTCATGAGATGAAGATAGATACATAAACAGATTGACAGGTATGAAGATGCGATAAAATATTCATAGATATGTGTGACATTGCCTACTATGCACCCCTCCATTCAACCAAATGGTTAGTATTTAGCTAGGACAGAAATTCCTAGCTTTAATTGAAAAACACTTTTCTACCAATAGTAGACTTAGTAAAATATTTAATAAGAACACCCTAAAATTGAGTTACAGCTGCACTGAAAATCTAGAAAGTATAATAAAAAAAAACACAATAATAAAATCCTGAACAAACCTCCATGCCTGAATAGTATTAATAAAAACCCTACACTTAAATTAGACAAAAACAGTGAAAAATTATGTGATTGTAGAAACCCAGAAGACTGCCCATTGGAAAATAAATGCTGCGTTAAATATGTTGTATACCAATGTACTATCTCATCCATTGAGAGTCCTAATACTAATATGATATACATTGGGTCTACGAAGAATGAATTTAAAGCCAGATGGAGTCAGCATAAGTGCTCATTCAACAATATTAATAAAAGAAATCAGACATCTCTATCTAAATATTTTTGGCATTTGAAGGAAATGAATAAAACACCAAAAGTAAAATGGAAAATTATAAACAAAACTAGAACTTGTAAAACTTGCAATGACCCATGCCCTTTATGCCTACATGAAAAACTACACATTATTAAGTTTCTAAATAATAAAAATCTATTAAACAATAGACATGAGTTAACGGTTTTTTTAGCCGACATCATCAAATTTTTGCATTGAATAATTAGCATAAAAACAAATAAACAATAAAATAATTTTTAAAATCCGTAGTCCTAATAAACAGTTTAAATGCCCTACAAAAAAAGATAACCCTTTATGAAGTCGTCAAAAAACAAATGTTACGGCAGTTTTATATACACAAAACCCTTTCAGAAAAAATAAAATACATAAATAAATAAATCTCCATAGACACGTAAACCAGACTAGGCGAAATCATCTTCCGTTTTAAATTTAGACACCCCAACCTTACCCTGACTTGACATCTGTGAATGTAACTTTATACTGATACAAATTATTAACACCTTACACCCATTTTTATTTAAACAATTGCTCTAGCCGTTACCACAGAAATTTTGATTTCAATAATGAATATGCTATTAAAACACGTAAATTTCAGAAATAAGTTATTCCTAAAAAACATTTCGCTTGAAGATGGAACAGAGCTTACTTTAATTCAACTTAATTCAAATAATTATATTGAAGTTTTCGGCTCTTGTTTTAGAACTCTTATGTAGCGTGTTGGAATCATATTTTTAAATAAATAATTATATATATATATATATATATATATATATATATATATAAGAGTGGAGACTGAAATCAAATCGAGTGGCGCTAGTCTGTTTGATGGACCTAGCTTAGAAAACAAACATTCATTAATATATATATATATATATATATATATATATATATATATCAGAGTGGCGAAAATCAGTGGCGATAGTCTGTTTCATAGTTGACCTCAACTTTTCCACGATGTAGATTGCTTATTAGTAGCTACGACACAATCTGCCTAATGTTTGGGTTCAAGTACGAAAAAAGATTGTCACTACTCCATCCTGAATGTTGAATATTTATACCTCATAAATATAGCATACATTAAATCTGTATTTTATCAAATATATGTGTGTCTGCGTGAGTTCGCGTGTGTCTGTCTGTGTGTGTGCGTGTTTGTGCGAGTAGGTGGGTGTGTTTGTATAAACGTGTGCGTTTTTCTAGTGCCTGTCTGCATGCATAATCGGACTCAACAAGAAGCTATGTAGCCCAATGCATTACTCAAGTTTGCTTGGACAATTTGAGTTTATCTTACACAAATACCTCAGTAAAAAGGATCCCTATCTATCAAAGTATATAGATAGAGACGGACAGATTATGAAGCAAGCGAATATCTATCTATCTATCTATCTATCTATCTATCTATCTATCTCTATATATATATGTGTGTGTGTGTTATGTAAATATCTACATACATATATATGTATATATACACGCACACACATACACACATATTTATTATAATAATGTCTATATATATATATTATATATAAATCTTTCTCTCTCTTTATATATATATATATATATATATACCCAGTATATTTATATATATATATTATTGGATGGATAAATAGGATGTATATATACATAAATACATACATATATATATATATATATATATATATATATATATATATAGAGAGAGAGAGAGAGAGAGAGAGAGAGAGAAATAGAGAGAGATTCAGTGAGAGAGAGACAAAAAAATTGCAAAATTTCACCCAAACCAGTTGTCAATCAAAAAACTAAAGTATAAATAGTGGAAAAAAAAATCAATGATAGCCCAGTAAAAACTAATAAAAAGAATCACAAATCAAATCAAGTTAAAATGTAAAAGAAATGATTGGCGGGGAATTCATGGAAATGAAAGACAAAACGTTTTACCATGAATAAAAGAAAAAAATGAAAAGAGCTAAAATTAGAAATAAAATTTGATCAATCATAAAGCTTTTAAAAAATAAACTTAGAAAAAACAATGAAAAAAAAAAAATGGAAAGAAACCGAACGGAAAGTGAAAGCAAATCTCACGAGAAGAATCACCGAGAATAGGGTAATAGCAACGAGAACAAAAAAATGAACGACAAAAAGATTAAAAAAAAAATTATATTTTCTTTCATTCTTTAATGAAACCATGTTATCCCCAGTGACTATTTCGTTCTAAAGTGACTTTTTCCTCAGTTTTGAGGAAAGAGAATAGCATGTTTTATTGGTAACAATTTCGATTATTTTTTTCTCTTCGTGTATTTTTCATTTCCATTAAATGCTATAAAATTATTTACTAACGTTAACAAAAGAAAAAACAAAAAAAAACTGAGCGAACCTCAACGACACTTCTAAGATTTCCCTCATATCTTGATTAAGATGGTATATAACTTCGCATTACAAGTAGACAAGATATAGATAAATACATACCGATACCTAGATCCGAGGTGCTTTAACTGACTCGGCCACGAAGAACCTTCGCCAGTTACAGAACGTCGGATCTAACGACGGTTCCTTTTTCCAAGGGAGACGCAGGTTCGAACCCTACCTGAGAACGCATATTTTTTTTTTAAAGTTTTCTCAATTAATGAAACCGAAGACGAAAATCACTAAATGTACGGTTAAGAAATAAATAATAAATAAACCGAGCATTGGCAAAAATATGAGTATCCAGTGAAAAGAATGTTTCGTGTGATAAAATCTGTCGTATTAATAAATTTTAAAAATCCTTTATGTGTATGTGTGTGTACTGGTTCCATGTAGCTTGGGAAATATGTGTGTATATGTGTGTGTGTACTGACTACTTGTGGTGGGATAGTGTGTATGTGCGTATGTGTATGTATGCGTGTATAAGTACAAATAAGTTTACGAATTCCTCGTAGTAAGGAAATATACGCACGCATATATACACGCATGCTGACAGGAACACGCCAAAATAGAAACAGATCCAAGAGCACATAGAGGTCACTAAAACATTAAAAGATTAAATGCCGATAACTACTCGCTGGACAAACCTTAATTGTTTTATGACCCTTCACGCAGAACTCTTCATTGACAATTCTAGAAAGAAAATTCGGATTGCCAACACACAAACAGAATGTCTCATATCGAGAATATTCCACAATGAACATGAAGAAAAATTAATTATTTTTTAATAATATGTAAAAATCTCCACTTTCACCTGAAGACGGTTTGCGAGACCAGACCAGAAACACGTGTCGAAATTATGTAAAACAAAGTGTAATATTTTTTCTCAATAAATCCACATTACAACCAAAAACGTTTGCGGCACCCTCTTCTTTTTTAATATACATACTTTTCTCTCGTTGGAACCACTACAACATATTTCTTTTTATATATATATATATATATATATATGAAATCAGTTCACACAAGCAAGATTATAATGCCACTAAGATGCAAGTATCTACTGAGAGTGGAATAGAATAAAACTTAAGAAAGGACCGGAATATAAATCCTAAAATGAAACAAGTGATAATCCTATACCCTGTTCAAATGACCAGTGAAGGATGAGAACCGGACGATAGAGGAACTTATCTTCTTGTCTACTATTATATATATATATATATATATATATATATATATATATATATATATATATATATATATACCCTCTCATACAAAAGGTGGCGATAAAAGTCACCATGCAACATGCACTTACTTACAATAACCATTAAGACAAAGTAATTCATCAACAGTCCAAATAATTATTATTAAAATGGTTCAGGAAAATTCTGGTTAATAACAATAAAATTCTATGGTATACAGTCGTATTAAATAATTATATAATTTAAATACGCTCTATCTCTGACATTGAACACTATTACCCCTAAATATCGTATACTCTCAAACTATATTTTATCATTATATATATATATATATATATATATATATATATATATATTTTTCTATAAATATATGTGTAGGTTAAAACACATTTCCCTTTAAATATATACATATATTTTTATGAGCAGTATCAACGATATAGGTTTATTTTATATTTAATTATATATATATATATATATATATATATATATAT